ATAATCTTAGCACTCTGGGAGGCCAAGGCAGGAGGATTGCTTGAGCTCAAGAATTTGAGACAAGCCCCATATCTACTAAAAATAGAAAAAAATTAGCCGGGCATGGTGACATACACCTGTAGTCCCAGCTACTTAGGAGGCTGAGGCAGGAGGATCACTTGAGCCCAGGAGTTTGAGGTTGCTGTGAGCTAGGCTGAGGTCACAACACTGTAGCCCAGGCAACAGAGAGAGACTCTGTCAAAAAAAAAAGGGGGGAGGGAGGGGATAGAGGAAAGAAGAAAGAAAGAAAAAGAAAGAAAGAGAAAGAAAGAAAGAAAGAAAGAAAGAAAGAAAGAAAGAAAGAAAGAAAGAAAGAAAGAAAGAAAGAAAGAAAAGAAAGGAAGGAAAGAAAGAAAGAAAACTTGGAGCCTACATCTATCTCCACCACCCCTCCCCACCAACCCCCACACCGTGGCTGAGACCACAGAAGACCTACATATTAGAAGTATACTGGACGCTTTTCAGGAATTTTCTTATTTAACCTCACAGGAGCTTTTCTTATAGCTTATCACTTCTTTTTTGAAAAACCTTGTTCTTCCTTAGCTTCTGTAACACCACAATCTCCTGATTTTACTCTCAGTCTCTTTTGCTACTTTATCCTCCTCTATGTGACCTTTAAATGTGCGACTGCCTCAGTCTAAGCCTTTTCCTCATTTATACACTCTCCCTGGGGAATCACCCATGACGTCAATTACCCCATATTTGTGTCTTGCACCCCAGTTCTCTGTCCATTTTTGCTGGGTTATTTCACAGGCAGCTCAAACTCAGCCTGTCCCAGGTTCAAGGCAAGCTTCACTAATGCTCACCAGTCTTGCCTGTCTTCCAGTTTGTTATCTCAGCTCAGACCAAAAGCCTGGGAGTTGTTCTGTCTCCTCACCCTTTCCCTCACCCCAAACCGCCAATCACCAAGTTCTGCTACTGAGTCTGCTTCAGCCCGACATGAGAGATTTGGGGATTTTAGTCCATGGGGTTTTACCTGGTGATTGGATCATCTGAGACTGTCATTAGAGAGTCATTTGAGGACTCAGGATTCTGGATGGCTGAACTTCTCTGCTGCCACCAGGCAATGAGGAAAATCTTTATGGGATAAATGGAGGTGACATGATCTGGCTGAGAGATCCTGTCCAAAGCCAGGTGGCCCTGAAGGGGAAAGTACCACTTTGGATTCTCATGCCCAATGGCCTTGATCTCCACTCCGTTTCAGTCACCTGTTCACAATTACACACCGGACCTTGCCATCCCCTCCACAATATTCCTTATCTCAGACATCTTCAAGTCTACCCTCCTCTTCTGCAGCCACAGCTCCTGTCTGTCCTTCTTACCTCTCACTGCTATCTTACCTGCTCTTTGGCCTTCATTCACGCATTCAGATCCTTGGCCCTGCCACTTAATACTATTAACAATACCAACTATCACTTAGTATCACTTCTGTCTGCCAGGCAGCACGTGAGTTCTTTATATGTACTCTCTTGTGTAATGCCTGAAAGAAACCTAATGGGTCAATAGTATTATTATTATTGTCATCATTATTCTCAACCTCTCTGAAGCACAAAAAGGTTAAATGACTTGTCCAAGCAAGTGCCAGAGAGGAAACTTAAACTTAGGGCAACTTGATCCCAGAAGCAGCCCTCTGAACCATTTTCCTGCAACACACCCATTTCCTCTTGGTCTTGTGTCCTTACCTTCAGTCGCTCTGACTTCATAGGGCAAGTAGGGCCAGCAGGTTCCCACCACCCCGCACCACCTTCCTTCAAGTATTTCTCTCTCCCCTTGGATTGCAGTGGTGACTTCCAGCTTCTACCTGAGCTCTGCTTTCGATCCTTGTCAGTCTCCTTGGAGACTTTGGTCTCTTTTGTGTATCTGCCATCCTGCATGCTTTATTGGATTCTTTCTTTCAGCGAATAAATATGATCTCCCCCTTCCCAGTCAGGCATCTGAAGAGTTGTTCCATCGACTGTCCCCCACTGCCTGGCCTCCCACTCCCCCTCAGCCCACAGCTGTCAGGCCTCTGTCACTGCCACTCCACTGGAAAGGCTCACCCCAAGATCTCAAATGCTTTCCTTCTTAATGTTCAGTCAACACTCTGACTTCCTTACCTTACCAATTACATTTGATGCTGTGCCATGGCGTCAGCCTTGCTCACAGCAACCTCATACTCCTGGGCTCAAGCAATCCTTCTGCCTCAGCCTCCTGAGTAGCTGGGACTACAGGCATGTGCCACCATGCCCAGCTAATATTTTCTATATATTTCTATCTGTCCAAGTAATTTCTTTGTATTTTTAGTAGAGACGGGGTTTTGCTTTTGCTCAGGCTGGTCTTGAACTCCTGAGCTCACACAGTCTGCCTGTCTCGGCCTCCCAAAGTGCTAGGATTACAGGCGTGAGCCACCACACCTGACCTACTCTGCCTTCTTAAACACTTCCTAACTTCGGCTCCCGGGGACCCCACTATTTAGGTTATTTTCCTACCACTTTGGTTTCTCCTTCATTGGCTCTTCCCCCTGCTCCCCAGGACTCCTCACTTTGCACATGTGCTCAGGCCGAGCTCATCCATCTCTGCCACGTTAACCTGCCATCCCCGTGCTACCTGGCCCCTCCCATAGCCATTTCTCAATCTTGGATTTTTCCTCCAAGTTGCAGGCTATTCGGTTCTAGCTCAATTTGCTAAAAGCTAATTCTCAGAAATTATCAAGAATACACTCTTTTGAAAAAAATGATAAAGTTTAGAACCATTCATATTGGAGAGGGTGGTTTTAACAGCTTTGGATTGTTTTGGTTGACTGGCCATCATTTTGATTTTACAGAGCATTTTCAGGAGTTGTCCATTTGCTTCTGTGACTGTAGGAGCTGGAGGGAGAGGGGTCCTTGACCAAGGAAGAGATAGGGAGAGAGTCAACTATGTCATAGCCAGGCCACTGCTGCCAGAGGGCAGAGAGAAGGAGAGACTGACTGAGAGAATATCCTTATGAAAATATTGCTTATTAACATCTTCTTATTCAATAATCTGCTCAAGAATGCATTCAAGAATATATTCATATATTCTTATATTGATGAAGAACCTATTCACCAGGTGCATATTTATGAAGAATATATTCATGCATATATACTTGAGCATAGTTAGTATCTTGAATGTTCTTATGGCCAGACCTTTTGTGTAGATGGAAAGACACTAATAAGGAATTATTTTCGGGATGGACACCCTGCTGACCAACTCCCCATCCCTGCGAGCAGTAGCCTAGTCCATGTTGTCAGCCACCTGTCTTCTCAACAAGGATCTGGGGCAGAGACAAATGGAATATCCCTTGAAATGCTGTTGGGAACTGGCCATCTAGGGGGTTTCTTCCTGTGGTGTCAGTCAAGCCCTGGCCTTACCATGTGCATGAGCACCACTGTCTATGCCAGGCCTGTGGCCATCCTCCCTCCTTGTGGTGGGCTCTTTTGTTCTGCAGCGCCTTCGCTCTTCTCTGGCGTCACTGCTGCTGGCTTGGGTCAAGACTTCCTTGGCTCTACCCTAAATGACATGCCACATGGCCTGTGTCCTTCTGGCCTGTCCTTCTCAGCGCCCAAATGAGGAATTTCAAAAAAGATTTTAGGTTATGAAATATTTCAAACTCAGGGGAAATGTAGAGAATAGTATAATTAACAGCCCAGCTTCTTCACTGGCCAGATTTATAGCTTCAAGTCTTATTTTTTAAGAAACTTTAAAAGATTCAGTTGAAGTTCTCTCATTACCCCTTCCCACCCCATCTCCCTTCCGCTGGCCTCCCTGTCCTCGTTTGGGTGCTCATTTCTGTGCATATACAACAGGTAGTGATGTTTTGCTTGTGGGGTTTTTTTTGTTTGTTTTTTGTTTTGAGACAGAGTCTCACTTTGTTGCCCGGGCTAGAGTGAGTGCCGTGGCGTCAGCCTAGCTCACAGCAACCTCAAACTCCTGGGCTCAAGCAATCCTACTGCTTCAGCCTCCTGAGTAGCTGGGACTACAGGCATGTGCCACCATGCCCGGCTAATTTTTTCTATATATATTAGTTGGCCAATTAATTTATTTCTATTTATAGTAGAGATGGGGTCTTGCTGTTGCTCAGGCTGGTTTTGAACTCCTGACCTTGAGCAATCTGCCTGCCTCAGCCTGCCAGAGACTAGAATTACAGGTGTGAGCCACCGCGCCCGGCCTGCTTGTGGTTTTTAACAGCTCTATTGAGATATAATTTACATGTCGTAAAATGCTCTGTTTTAACTACATTTCAACGGTTTTTGGTAAATTTACTGAGTTGTACAACTATTACCACAATCCAATTTTTTTGTTTTTGTTTAAATAACATCTTTATTGAGATGTAATTCACATCCCATAAAATTCCAGTGGTTTTTAATATATTCACAGAGTTGTGCAATCATCACTACTATCTAATTTCACAAAATTTCATCATCCCCAAGGGAAACCTTGTCCCCATTACAGTCCCTCTCCATCTCCCTCCTCCAGCCCTGGCACCCCCTCATCTGCTTCTTATCTCTGTGGGTTGGCTTCTTCTGGACATTTCGCAGAGATGGAATGATGCACTATGTTGTATTTTATGACTGCTCAATCTCTATAATCAGCATGTTTTTATAGAGTAACTACTGCATGCTAAACACTGGTCCTGGGGATATTTGTGGAATTTAATAACATACATAGAGTGTTTAGGTTTTAGTTTCTACCACTTCTAATCTATGGCTGTTTTCATAAAGCTGTTACAAAAGAATAACTATATATAAAATATATATGAAGATCAGTGTACGTGTGACTGATCTGTGTGTGAGTGTTCCTAGGCAGACCTGGGGTAGGAGGCAGGTTTTGACTAGAGTCTTGGGAGAGAGGAGGAAGTCAAAATTGGAACTCAAATCTAGTGTAGGTGCAGGACTGCTCACTGTCAGTACAAGCTCTGGGCGAGGTACTAATGGAATATTACTTTCTCTTTTGTTCCCAAGACAAACATTGATGGAAGAGCAGGTGAATGACCACCTGCAGGGCCACCTGGATGAGATTTACCACCTCAAACAGAATCTGGCCTGCACTGAAGAGAAAATGGCATATCTGTCCTATGAGAGAGACAAGGAAATATGGGTGAGAATCTCATGGGGGAGCCTTTCAAGACATGGCCAGTGAGAAGGACGTAGGGATGAGTGAATCCATTCTGATATCTCTAAACCAAAGGAAGACCTGAATCTTTGAGCTATATACCCCCCTGCCGAGGGTTCCATGGGAACACACATGCTTGTTTTAGAGCTAGCAGTGTCCAGTCTTTACGTGCATGTTCCACTTCCCACCATCCGGCTTAGTTGGTTTTGGAACTTTGGAGCTGCAGTGCTCAACCTTGAGGGCTCATCAGAACCACCTGGCAGGCTTGTTCCAAGGCGGTGGCTGGCCCCAGCCCAGAGCCTCTGACTCAGGAGATCTGGGGTAGGGCTGCTTCTGTTGGTGCTGTGGGTGCAGGGAGTGCCCTCTGAGAATCCCTCCTTTAGACCTGGCTTCCCTCTCCTCACTCTTTTCCATACCCAGAGCTCCTACTCCTGTCCTAGGTTAGCTCTGTTCCCACCAGGCCCTCAGTCTTAGGAGACAATGGATAAGGGAGTGTGGTTGAGTCAGACGAGGCTTGGCTGTTTCTGATGGGCCCTGGCAGCAGCTCTGTGTCTTCACTGGATGTGCTCTAACTTCTCCACTTCCTTCCTAAGATATTCAACTCAATGATACTTGCTGCACCCTCTTTAGGAACCGAATTAAATGACTGCAGTTCTGTTCTGACTTCTAGTGAGTGTGTGTATTTTTGTCTCCTGCAGGAGGTCATGGAGACTTTCAAGAACCGAATAGCCAAGCTGGAAACTTTACAGCAAGTCACCCAGCTGGAGACAAAAGAGAACCTCAGAAGCCGTCCCCAGGAGTTTTTGTTCAGATTCGTGAGCCTGCTCCTCACACTGGCCACCCTGCTCTTGGTCTCTGTCTCCGCCATTTGTGCCTTCCCCTTACCACTGGTCAACTCACGCCTGCGCACTTGCACCGTGCTCATGCTGCTTGGGCTCGGGGCCCTGGCCTGGCAGAAGCGACACACCATCCCCACCTTGGACTGGCAGGTGTGGGTCCCCTCCAGATGGAGACTGTACTCCAAGGACTCCAATCCTCCATCAGATGGACCTTAAGAGGCCTGAGTTTGCTAGTTCTGCCCTCCTTCCGGCTCTCCCCAGGCAGCCACTTTGCAGTTCTTGCTTTCTGATTCTGTGACCACCAGTCTAGGGAGGTGTGCCCAGACACCTACCTGCTTCACACTTCTATTTCACCACAATCCTTCCATGCCATCTGTAGACATGAGGCTTGGAGAAAATTAAAGTCTATGAAGCACTGCTTTCCTCTTTATCCCCCTCACTCCCTCTTGAGACCCAGGGCCTGAACACTCAGAGGCTTAGGTGGCCCTAAACAGCAGTGAAAGTCTCTGTGACTTGGTTGATTTTGGCAAAGAGAAATGACAGTTATTTCATAGGGATGGAGGGGAAGGGGAGTAAGAGGTGGCCAAAGCCCCAGTGGGTGGAATGGGTAGGAGGCAGACCTCACGCAGGTGACACTGAAGAGACAGATGAGACCTCTGTTTTGGAGGTGCTAGAGAGTTCAGAGCCATCATCAACCTTCTTTCCAAAAAGCTGCAAGATGCAGTTTCGAAACTGGAAGGACAGAAAGTATTATTCAGCAGAGCAGGAAGGGCCAGTGTGCTGTGCTAAGGGTAAGGCTTGGGGCATTCATTAAGTTTTACCTTGATAACTTAACATCTTCCCTTCTGCCATTCAGAATCAAATCAGGAGGATTAGGTTACCCCTTGCACATGGGTCATCTAAGTCATTTAATTTAGCAGTTGATGGTGACTATTGTGAATTGAATTGTGTCCCCCAGAAGGATATGCTCAAGTCCTAACCAACGGAACCTGTGACTGTGTCCTTATTTGGAAATAGGGTCTTTGCACATGTAACAAAAATGTGCATTAAGATGAAGTCATACTGCATTATGGTGGGCCCTGACCTAATGACTGGTGTTCTTACCAGAAGAGGAAAATCTGGACACAGAGACACAGACACAGAGGGAAGAAGACCATGTGAAGATGAAGGCATACATTGGAGTAATATGTCTTCAAGTCAAGGTCCACCAAGGATTGCCAGCAAACACCAGACGCTGGGAGAGAGGCCTGGGGCTGATTCTCCCCTGCAGCCTCCAAGAGAGACACCTTCATTTGCCAGCACGTTGATTTCAGACTTCTGGTTTCCAGAATTGTGAGAGAATCAATTTCTGCTGTTTAAGCCACCAAGTTTGTGGTAGTTTGTTATGGCAGCCCCAGGACATTCATACAGTGACCAAACACGATGTCAGCTAAGCGGCACATACATACAGTGACCTGTTTCCAGACTGTCTGGCAAGGGGCTCAGAGGCATTTTAATGAAAAGGAATATGATTGTTATCTTTTTTCCAGTTGGTCAATTTTGGGGGGAGGTGAAGCCTAGATAGGCAGTGGTCTAGCTGCCTACCTCATCTCTTTAGTCAAGAGAGCCTTCTGGTACCAGCAGGGCTCTACTCTTTGCTGGTTCATCCCTAAGGAGATCTGGGCCCTATTAATTTCTAAAATCATGTCTCATATCATCACTGAACTAACCACAGTGCTTTGAGAACCCAGACCAAAGGTAATTCCCAAAACTTTCAGGCCTACTCTTGACTACCTCCAGCTCTCTCTGTTGTCAAAATTCTCTAAAATAAAACACATGATTGTTGAAATTAATAACATAAGAAATGGGCTGAACAGCAGAATCGACTAAGCTGAAGAGCCGGAAGATAGGGCTGAGGAATTCATTGCCTGATTCGTCCACATCCACTTACTGAGCACCCACTGTATACCAGACTCTGTGTGCTCCAAGGGGACAGAGCAGTGAGCACGAAAAGCAAAATTCCCTGTCCTCATGGAATGTCATTCCAGAAAACTCTCAGAATGCAGCAGGACAGGATAATAATGTGGAAGGGTGAAAGCAAAGTGCAGAGACATCTGTCTAGGAGGGGAAGTTCTGGAAAGGAGAATGGAAAGAATCAAGTAAAGACTGTCCTTAGCAAGATAGTTTAGGATTCCAAAAACCAAAACCAGACCTAAAAAAAGATCCTCATGAAAGACAGGAAACAGGGGTCTCTGAGCATCACTGTGCCAACAACTGAGTTCCTGGGAATTGACTGTGGGCCTGGTCCTACTGACTATTTCAAAGTTACCAGGAAGAATTCATGCCTAATGAACTGTACTGATCTTGTCCCTGGCTTGTGCGAGTCAAGGCCAAGCCAAAGGGGATGGAGCCATTGAGTGAGTCACTTGGAAGGGATGGATTTGGTTTGGTGAAATGGAAGGCTCCTGTGGACCTTTCTGGTCACCATCAAGTCACATGCCAGCTGCACTTTAATGAAGTGTACAAGATGGTTCAAGAAAGAGTAAGGCAGCTTGCACTTGGATGATTGACCTCACGACATCACCTGAAACCTGCCGGGAGGGACCTAGGACTCATGAACAACTTGCTGCTGAGGCCCAGTACACCAACTAACGGTGGCTGCCACTGGGCAAGGCCAGAGTAACTCCGCCTGAACTAACCCATGAACTCACGAAAGCTCTTGAACTCTTGGTCAGTGCAGCCAAGGAAGACCTGCTTTTGTTCTTACAGGAAGACAAATTTGAGAAGTTATGGTTTGAAAATGGGAAGCTAAAGGTGGAGAGTTGAGTCTGGAAAACCAAGAGGGGCACACCTAGGGTAAATGTAGACATATTCACAAAGTCCTAGAGGATCTGAATTCCAGGGGAGCCCCTGAAACTTGACAGTCAGAGCTCTAGGGCCACCAGCACAGAGGAGTATACACAGCACATACAGACTTCGGCAAATGCCACCCTTAGGCTAAGATGTTAACGGACACCAAGCCTTCTGCTAATGGCCAGGTGGAGGTCTGCTGGGGCTGGGGTCATGCTGAACCTTTTCCTGGTCATTTTCCTGAGAGATCATTATCAGCCTCCCCCTGATGCTCTGTGGGCTCCTCATTGGAGACACAATTTCAGGTGGAAGCCATCACTGAGTTCTTCCAGGAGAAACAGTACTTCAAGTTTGATCAATGACATTACTTACCTGCCGATTCATAAAGACATAGATAATGGGGTTGTAGATGGTGGCACTTTTGGCAAAGTAGGCTGGCAGAGCAGCCATCAGAGGGTGGAAAGCATAGCCAGGGTGGGCAGCAGCAAAGCATGCAAAGAAGGTGTAGGGTCCCCAGCAGACACAGTATGCGAGGACCATCACCACCACCATGCGTGTCACCTCCTTCTCGGCTTTCTGGGTGGACTCAGATTCTTTCTGCTGCTTTGCCACCTGAGAGATACAGGGACAGTGAATGTCGGAGTCACCCAGGGCTCTGTATCTGAAAAGACTCCATGGTGCTATTGCTTGGGTGAGTCGGGGGGGGGGGAGCAGAGATAGGCAGGGATAGGGAGTCGTGAGGGAGAGGAGATGCACCCACTTGCTACTCAACCCTACCAGCCAGCAGCCACCTTCCCCCTCTGAGTCCCAGCACGACCTGCCCCAGGCACACATGACAAAGCCCTTGGCTGGCTCTTCTAGGGCAATTCTAGGCTTTGAGGTAGGAAGCAGCTGGGCCTGGTCTAAAATGACCACCAGAATCTTCAAAGCTCTCGCTTTAGCCGGCAGGAGTTTGGGTGTCCTCTCCTGTGCTCGGGTCTGGGTGTGGAGGCCTCAACTGATCACCAGAGACAGAGTGAAGAATGAAAGTGCTAACAAGACGGAAAATGGTGGTGGGAGGGTGAAAGCAGTTGGTGTTTCTTTAGCTAAACCAGTGGCTGGTGAGGAGCCCAATGGCAATGCCAGAGCAATAAAGACAATTTCCTTGGGCTTTCTTTCCTTTTTGTTGTTTTTTTAGAGACAGGGTGTGGCTCTGTTGCCTGGGCTGGAATGCAGTGGCATGATCATGGCTCACTGCAGCTTGGAAATGCCGGGCTCAAGTGATCCTCCTTTCTCAGCCTCCTGAGTAGCTGGGACAACAGGTGCACACCACCATGCTAGCTAATTAACAGATTTTTTTTTTTTTTTTGTAGAGACAAGGGTCTTGCCATGTTGCCCAGATTAGTCTCAAAGTCCTGGCCTCAAGTGATCCTCCCACCTCAGCCTCCCACAGTGCTGAGATTACAGGCGTGAGCCACTGCACCTGGCCCTCTTGGGCTTTCTGGACCAGGACTGGCCAGTCTGTGGACTAAATCCTACTCCTGGACTCATTGTGAGGCATACATGTTCCTTCCAAGGGAAGCTGAGGGCAGCTGTCTCGGTGCGAGGGGGAGGCAGGAGACAAATGACCTCCAGGCACAGGGACTTGGGGGGAAGTCAGAGAGGCCAGCTACTGTCTGCTGTGGGCAGGAGACTGATGGCAGGCAGCTGAGTGGGGATGAAAGAGGGACTACGAGGGCTGGTATCCTGGGAGGGCTGGGACAGCAAGGTTGGGGCCACGTTCTGGAGCCTGGGCTCCACCAGCCAAGAACCCATATGACCAAAGCCACGGCCAAGCTATGGCTGGATACCTGCAGGAGCCTACTGCCCTGGGAGAACTTATCACAAGCTAGTGGACTCCCGTAGAAAGAGCTTAGAAGCATGAGCTGATCCAACTGTGGGCATAGGCTGGTTCAGATAGGAAAGGCACCACCCTGAAGGGCCTTCCACCAGCTATGCCAGGCAGGGTACTGCCAGTTCACAGATGGCACATCTAGATCAAGATAAGTGTAGGGGAGTTGACTGACAAAGGGGTGACTCCTCTGCAGAAGGGGAGTGCAGAGCTCTCAGGGCCACAGGCCCAGCCTCCCTCTCCTCCCTCACTCTGATTTCCAGTGCAGCCCAGCCTATGGGTGGGGGTGTGTGGCATCCCTGGCTGTGGACAGGATGGGCTTCCCAGGCAGAGGGCCAGGCATGGGAGGGTGGGGAGAGTGGCTGGGGCGGGGCAAATAGCACACTTGAGTCCACTCTCTGGCTGCCCCAACAGCCCCATGAAAGGGACAAAGATGCTCCCGTGGCAGCCTTTTAAAAACACCCTTTGAGTTGCAAGTTTTATCTGCTGATCTGCTGCTCCCCCTACTCCATGGGAGAGGTAGGCGTTTCCACCCCAGGAGAACTGTCTTGAGTCAGGGGAAAGGCGCAGCACTGCTGCCTTACTCAGCTCCTCCAGGAAGGGAGTGGGCAGTCCCATCCCATCCCACAGGGGTGGGACAAGGAAGCCTGGGCTGAGACTGTAGCCAGCACAAGAATCCCAGAGTACAGCCCCACAGGAATTACCTGATTCATGTCTCT